ATTCTCCTTGTGCTGATCCCATATTTCTCATCCAAATAGTGGTGACCCCACAATTCCAGTCCAGGTCTGGCAGCAGGGTTGGAAGCAGAGTTTGCTAATCTCTAGTACCTTGAGCTGGTCATAAGGACAGCGGACTTGCTGGTGTTCATCAATCTCAAAGGGTTCCAAGAACTTGAGGTTGACAGACAGGCCCTTTTGCAGACGGATGCTGTAGTTACACCGGAGGTCTTCAGGATAGGGCTGGGGGTACTCAGGGCTGCTCAGGTACCCAGACGCCTCTGTGAACAACTCACTGCTGCACTCCACTGGTGTAGAGGAAGAAAGTAGAGGTCACATTGTGGAGCTGTGCCTTCTGCAGCCCCAACTGCTCCCTAAGTCACTTCTCCCACCCCTCCTGGCTGAAGGGCTCCTTCCCTGGCGCCCTCTGTTCTTTCAAAATTTCAATTTACCTTTGCAGGAGTGGTGGTCACTCTGAAGCCGGTAGCCAGTCCGGCAAGAACAGAAGTAGCCACCCACATAGTTGTGGCAGAAGTGCTGGCACTGAGGCCCTTCCTCTTTCTCAGCAGCATTGTTAAGGTCACATTCATCAAGATCTGAAGACACAGGAGATGCAGGGACAAGGGGAGGAAAGTATTAAACCTCTCTGCTGTACACTGAGAGTACATTAGAGAGCCACATCCTTGCTTACAGCTTCTCTTTATTTGCCTGAGAAGGAGGAAAATCAGGTGGAGCCACACAGGCTTCTGCCTGCATGCTGAGGGTATTGCCTACTCACCCACAGCTTGGTAATAAGCCAGGAAGCCCCTGTAGGGAATCACCGTGCCATTGTCTTCATTGGAGAAGTCTGAGTGAAACGCCAGGTGCATCCTATTCCCCTTAGATACAAACTCCTTTCTTCCTGGGTGATTGCCTGTGGTTGACCCAAGCCGGCCACAGTATCGGCCCAAGTTCTTCTTGTCTGCTTTGATCTGTCAAGGTTAAGGAGAAATCACTGTAGCCTCATAAGATTCAGTCTGCTCCATGCATCGCTGTTACCCAGCCATGAGTTGCTCCCACCCATTTCTGTCTTTAGCTCCTTCCCTTTCCTTTGCGGGAAGTACGAGAGGAGGCCTGGTGAACGAAGAGCCACAGCGTGTGGTGGCCACTAGATTCCCATCTCCAGCCGCCCCTTGGCCCAGGTATCTATGCACATACCTTAACATAGTCATAGAAGCAGGATTCAGATGGCTCCAGGTCAAAATATCTGAAGGTCAGCTTCACCACATAGCCTTCTGGGACGTGGATATCCCAAGTGCTGATGTTATTGTTGGGATATGGCTTGGGATAACCGGGGGATCTGATCTCCCCAAAAAGCTTTCTTGGGACTGGACTGGAACTGATGGCTCCAAAAAAGAGGAAGGCCCCCAGGAGAAAAGGAACGTGCCTGTGAACATGACAAGTGAACTACGACATTGCACAAAATCAGGTCATCCAAAATCAGGGGAGACTTGACTTGGGCGCTGTCTCATGGAATCCAAACACGGGAGGCCTAGTTGCAGGTCCAGCTACTGGCTTGGATCACTCAGGAACAAGGAGGACAGCTGAAATGAAGACACCAGCACTACCCAGGTTCCAGCAAGGCACTGTGACCCAGCCAAAGAGCTTCATCAACCCAGGAAGCAGTTTGAAGGAGCGCGGATGAATTCCCTGCTTGTTCCCAGCAGTCATGGGGCTGGGTCCCTTAGAAGCAGTGGAAGTTTGGCTCCCTTTCGCTCTGGGCCAGCGGGTCATTTCTGTTTATTGCTAGCTTAGGATCTCTGCCCAGTTCCTTTGGTGAGGGTCTGAAGAGCTGAAGCTCAGCTTGCTGAGGAGCAATCCCGCGGTGCCTCCTGGGCAGCCCTCCACCCCCTCGTGCCTCAACCCCTCTCCTCCAAGAGTTGGCCTTCATTTTTTTTTTTTTTTTTTTCCCCCACATTCTACAGATCGTTCCCCTCTGGGGAACGGAACTACCAGTGCTCCTCCAAAACAAGCTCACCACCCAGATCTCATGAAAACATCAGCCAGAAAGATCCTTCTTCCTCAGCCCCAGGTCCTAGCAAAGCGTTACCGGAGGGACAGCGAGCCTGAGCGTAGCCCCTTGGACCTCTTCTCCTCCCTGGAAGGGTCCAACCCTCCCGTTCCCTCCCCGCAGAGATGTGGCTGGCCCCCTCCCCTCCCCACTTGCCCCCACTCACAGGTCCATGGGCTCGCCCGCCCCGCAGGCAGCCCTGCCGGCAGCCCTGCCCGTCCTCCCCGCTGCCCCGGCCCGGAGCTCCGGTTAGCGGGAAGCCCGGGGACCGGTCAGGGAGGTGGGGAGAAGCGGAGGGAGGGGAGATCGAGGCCGATTACAACCAGCCTGGCACCGGACCAGGCTCCCGCAGCCCGGTCCCTGCTGCCCTCTGCTGCCGAGCTCCTCGGCCCTGCAAGCAGGGACCCCGGGGAGGGCTTTTTTTTTGGGGGGGGGGGGGGGGGGGGCTGTCACACCCCAGCCAGGCAGAGCCCATCTGTCTCTTCTGGGCGAGAAGGCAGGCAAACCATTGCTAGAGACCTTTCCTAGGGTTTGGTCTGCAATCCAGCAGCGGCTCTGAGTTTGTTCTCCCCCAAAGATGTCCTCCTAGGAGGTCTCCCCCTTTCCCTCTGGGCGGTTTTCTGGTGTTGGAAGATGACCAGAAATTTCAGTCTTAACAAATTCAACTTTAAAAAAAAAAAAAAAAAAAAAATCAAACCCGCAAAAAAGTCAAGTTTTCTCTGTCCTGGCACGAGCACTTCAGAGGTTTTTTGGAAACTGGGAGCTTCTTCAGGGAAAACAAGAAACCTCAGACATTTCAGTTAAAGAGATACTAAGAAAAATGAACAAACCTGTAGAATTAAAAGCGTCCTGAGAACAAGTCCCTTTTCGAGGACCCTTCTTGCTGTTTGTTGTGCGAGCATTTTTTAGGACAAACGAGGCCTTCAGTATTTAACGGGGAAATGAGAAACGAGAGCAACGTACCAACACATTTCAGGCTTTTATCAACGTAGTGCCCAAGACATATATTGTGTGCCACCAACTTCATGAAGTTTAAAATTTCTTGGCTTAGGCGTAAGAGGTAAAACACCATTTTAGTGTTTTCCCTTAGAATTATGGGTGGCTTCAGAGAAATTAGCGAGTTCCTTGCATTGAAATCATAGGAAATAACTCACAGCTACAAAACTATGTTGAATGAAGATGAAAATAGTGTTAAAAAGAATGAAGAAACGTCTTTGGGATATTTATGGAAGTGTACGAGAGAACCTGCTCATCAAATGTCTTTGAATTATTATCTGAAAAAGATCACATAAACATGTAATTAGTGCCTCTGTAATAACACCATACGGCCCCACACATCAGAATTAAGATTAAGCAGGGGACGTTGCCCCACTGCTCCTGATGTCCACATATCTCCTCTGCACGATGAACATACTTGGGCAGGCTCACTGCCGTGCCGTGCCGTGCCGGAGCAGGTTCTGCCGGCTTACTGTCCCACCAGAAGGGAAGCTTCTACTCAGCAACCACATCTGGAAAGTAGCTGGGAAGCACTGGAAACTACTCGGAGAGTTATGAACAGGTCACCGGTGGGAAGAGTCTTCCCTGGCAAAGCATGGAGAGATGGAGGTGCTTGAGGATCATTTGTTAGGAAGTACTTCTCCCAAGTAACAACCGATGGGACAAGAGGAAACAGCCTCAAGCTGTGCCAGGGGAGGTCTAGGTTGGATATTAGGAGAAACTTCTTCACCGAAAGGGCTGTCAGGCCGTGGCCCAGGCTGCCCAGGGCAGGGGCTGAGTCCCCATCCCTGGGGGGATTTAAAAGCCGGGTAGACGTGCGACTCGAGGGCATGGGTTAGTGGTGGACTTGGCAGTGCTGGGTTAACGGCTGGACTTGATGATCTTAAGGGTCTTTTCCAACCTTAACGATTCTATGATTCTATGAAGCTGACCATTTCAGTGTGTTCTTGACAAGGAATCTTCTATCAGAGGGCACCACTGGGAGTTCCCCATTGCACTTTCAAGGCACATCTCCCATGTCTTCATTTCCCCCACCCCTCCACCCCGAGAACACCATCTGGGCTACTAGGAGACTACTTCAGCTGGTAAAGCAAGGGTGGTTAGCTGGGGTTATGCCTAACTGGAGCAGCCCACCTCTAATACCATGTCCCATAGACCACCTGATTTGGATAATACAGCTATGCCCTCGGTCCTGCTCCAGTGCTCCCACTGGTGGCATTCCCCTTCAGATGCTCTGTGCAATCCTCGTTATGTTAAGTTCGAGCCAGGAAATATCTGGTACCTTTTTTTTTGTTGGGGGGCTGTCTGTGCCTTTCTTCGCTTGAGGGCAGAATACATGCAGGACCACAGAACGCCAGAACTAAGCGCCTGTTTGCTGCCTGCTTGACTCAGCTGAGTTACAAGAGGACTGGCAAATAAATCCAGACAATATCAGAGCAAACTAAAGAAACTGTAGATCTTCAGCGTGGTCAAAGATGCCAACACCCTCTCGTGGAGAGAGACTTCTGCTTTGAATACAGTGTGTTGCAGGAGGTCCTTGGGAAGAAACCTGCTCTACAGCCTCAGAAGCCAGGAGATCATCCTCTGATGTGCAGGCCCTCTCATCCACTGAGAAGGAGAAGATGAATTGGATACTTCACCCTCAAACCTGAAGCAAGGAGGACAGAGAAATACCTCTGTTGGTCCTCCTACAGCTACACCACCTACCCTACCGCACACCAGGGCCACAGACCCAGGCTCACCTGTAAACACTGAGCTGCTGTCCCAGGCCACTCTGCCTTCAAGCCCTTGCTTTGACCACCCATCGCAGCCTTTTGGGGCCACTCTGCCACTAGCCATAGGGCTTGGGCTTGATGCAGCCAGGCCTGCGCTATCCAATGGCTTACCACTCAAGCAAATCATGCCACTCCTGCAGCTCTGGCTGATATGGAGAAGATGACCTACACCAAAAGAAGGCTCAGGACTCTAAGAGTGGCTCTTCCCCCTGGTATGAGATGGTGAGGAGCAGCATCATCTTGGTAGCCTGTTTCTGTGTCTTCTAAATCAAGGAGCAAAGCCAAGCGTAACACCCCAGGAGGGATGTGGTCCTGCAGCACTAGCCGCTCCGCAAAGGGCAAGAACAAAGGCCGTGTCCTCCCAGTATCGCACCTTATCCCCTGCCTTACGCTCGCATCCTTACCTCCCACAGTCTCAGCGATACAGTACGGTTGTGCAAAGTCACCGTCTGACTTAGGCATCACACCTATAGCATGATTACAAAAGTAAAAACAGTGAATTACTAGTGCTGGCAGTTACTAACTGAAGCCCCAGAACAGGTTGGAATAATCTCCCTTATGATTATTAGGAGTGTGGACCACATCAAGTCGCTACGATTCCTATCTATGGTTCTGGCACAATCAGATGTTTCCTAAAGACGAGAGGCTGTCACGGATATACGATGGCTGGCAACCAGTCAGAAGGAATCCACTCAGCATATCACCTCACAGGCTTACACGACAATTGTGTGGATGGCTGGCACGCCAGTGGAAGAGTCTGGCTAACGACCTGAAGGCAATAGCTGTCTACCGTCAAACCGGGACGTAGGCTCAGAAAATGGAAGTTTGTACCAGCTTTTGGTGCAGGGCCTGAAATGAGTTGATTAGGCGTTGATCACACCGTCTGGAAGTTATCAGTCTGGACATGGGGACGTGGGCTTGGTGTTGGGGATCAGAAGCAGCTCCAAAGGGCTCTCATTGTATGGAGGAGTACGAAGAAGGCAACAGTTGAGGCAGCTTCAGCTGCTGTCAGTCAAAGCTTTCCCTTTTGCAACCTCGTGGTACAACAAAGATGATGTAGAGACTCCTTATGATAGAAGGAATGATGGGTTGTGGAGGGCTGCATAGAGCAGATAAATGACACGCTGGATGGCGTGGCCATGATTGCTCGTTGGGTTTGATCGTGTTCCACCCTGCGGTGCCCTTGCGCTGTGGATATTGACGGGGCGCTGCAGCCTGGGATGTTGTATTGGGTTTGCCTGGCAAGGTGTTGGTAGCGGGGGGGCTACAGGGGTGGCTTCTGTGAGAAGCTGCCAGAAGCTTCCCCTAC